ATAGTTTAGCAGGTACAGTGATCATCATGCTCACCATTGTAGTTTAACTTGTTAGACTTCTAACATGTACTAATTAGCCCCAAACACAAAGTACAACTGAGGCTGATGGGAATGTTATTAGATTTGCATTTATTTAGTCATAAACTAAACAATTGGATACATTCAGATTTCGACCTGATGATGGCGCTGTTTGAAAAGTTAAGAAATCACAAAAGTTGATACAAATCATTCTGAGGAAGTGGTGTTAAAGGTAAAGTCAAGGAATCCCGGATGTCACTAGGATTCATCATCTGGGAACAATGAATGTAAGTGCAAAATGTCTGTGCCAATCTATTCACTCAATATCAAGATATTTCACCGGATACATGAAACCGTCAACCTGCTGGTGTCGCTAGAATAAAAGTCAGAAGATCACAAAAGTTTAGAGGATTCATCCTCTGATAACCATGAGTATATGTATGAAAGTCCATGGCAATCGATCCGATAGTTGACGAGATATTTCACAAAAACCCAGAAAAATGTCAACTTCACGGTGGCGCTAGATGAAAAGTCAAAAGATCCCCAAGGTCAAGAGGATTCATCCTCTGGTAACCATGAATGCATGTGTAAAATCCCATGGCAATCCACCCAGTAGTTGACGAGATATTTCACGAAAACCTCCCACAATTGTCAACTTCATAGTGGCAGGGAATCAAGTACAGTGTTCATCCTCTGGTAACCATGAATGTCTGAACATAACGTCGTTCTGAGAACTCAAGGCAATGTCTCCACCACAAAATCCCCAAAATATTCCATTTACAACGATGCAAAAAAATAGAGAAGAAAGCAGCACATCCTCGTATTTAAAGGAGCTAGAATCAGCAAATAGTTAGCATTTTTCCTAGACTCAAACAAATAATCATTTGTTTGGATGTAATTTGTTTGAGTGTGTGTTCTTAATGCTCTGACCTGGTTATTAGAGATTCCCACTTTACTGGAAACAAGGTGCCTTTACGTGCTCACATCCCGCTGGAGACACCGACACGCCGCTGAGAAATATGATCCAAGTTACACTAATGAACGCATGTCATCGTCTCATTTCATTAAGTGTGCGCGTACAATGGGACACATCACGCAGCATCACTTTCCATTTGGACGAGTGCCCAAGTGGACACAGCATGCAGCGACAGTCTTATTTGCTCATGCACTTCGTGTAGAGTTTGACCTTTTTAGGGAAATCTGATTTTGATAATTACATCAACACCGAGATCTGTTTAAAGAGACTCGGCGTGATTAAGTCGTGTTTGCCGTCAAAGAGAAAGCAGTGCTCTTTCTCCAAGCAGTGCCTGCAGACGTGTGTGTGTGTGTGTGTGTGTGTGTGTGTGTGTGTGTGTGGTCAGTGCGGCTGTGCGATGTGGTAATCATCCAGATTCTGTAAGGATTCTGCCCATTAGTGTCACACAGCGAGCGGGCCGATATCCTCGGGGTCGCTCGGCTCGGGAGAAATTGAGCAGGCTGGAATATACAGTGCAGTTCAGATTAATTGGGAAGCACTTCAGTGGCTTTTCAAACATCTACCGCCAACATCGGGAGTTTTATACTCAGGGCTGCTCCTGCTCTTCAAACATGCAGGGCTGGGGGAGTAGAAAATGGTTATTGTTTAAACATTAGCCTCATTTGAGCTGCTCCAGCTGTATCTACAGTGGATATGTGGGGCGAGTCTCCCCAAAGGTAGTTATCATTTGTTAGCGTGTGTGTGTGTGTGTGTGTGTGTGTGTGCCAGCCATACATTCTCAATTAGTGGCCAGGCTTTTGTTTACCTCTACCGAAGAGAGACACAGGTCTTTTTTTGAGACAGACTGTTATCAGAGGCAGTGCTTCGATTTTACTTCCCCTGTTCTATATTTAATACACTGTATTTAGAAGACTCCCTGTTGCTCTTTTCTGTTACCGCAAGTGCAATGCTTTTGATATTTGTTTAGCATTAAACGCCTCAGGTGGCAGAACCTCCTCTCTTCCTCGGAAAGGCTTTTATTGTGAAACACTAGACGTGTGTACACAGGAAGTGTGAGATGCGACGTATATGTCGAGGGCTTTTATTGTGAAAGGTAAAAACAGACTTGTGAATGACCCAGAGAAAGTTTCTTTTAGCAAATAAATTAAAACAATCAAAAATTGCCGACAAAAACACGTCATCCCTGCAGCACTCTTATTTACTGTTTTTTCTGTAAACGCAGTTTTAGAGTCCTGTTTTTGTGTGAATCACTTCACTTAGTGGTTCCAAATTTGATTCAACCAGCCCGCTGAAGTAGTCTCTGCAGAGTCTTCCTCCCACCGTCCAAACACAAGCAGGTTCAGTAAACTGAAAGCCCTGAACGGCCCCATAGGAGGTCATCTGTGTGTCAGACTCCGGCTCCTTGTGACCCTCAACAGGCTAGATGGGAATAAATCTGAATGGGTGTTAAAGTGGCTTATGTGTGGACTTTGTCTTAATGACTGAGAAGAAATATGGATCCCAGGCGGGAACTCATGGCAGTGCCCTTGTTTGTGTGTGTGTGCATACAGAAGGGGGCAGAGAAAGAGAGAGAGAGAGAGAGAGAGAGAGAGAGAGAGAGAGAGAGAGAGA